TGAGCTGCCGCCCGCCTGAATGGACAACGAAATTTGAGAGCCACGTCACCGATCCGCGCCATCTCTCTCGCGGATCGCCATCTTGACCGTCCAATCCCGTGCGGATCCAACGGCAGGCTGCACACTCCTCCCCCGTTAAATCCCCCTTCCATTCCTCCCCACTCTCACCACCACCAGCCGCCGCCACCATTTCCATCTCAGTCAGCTCCAAGCCATCAACCATGTCCGGCCGCGGCAAGGGAGGGAAGGGCCTCGGCAAGGGCGGTGCCAAGCGCCACCGGAAGGTTCTCCGCGACAACATCCAGGGCATCACCAAGCCGGCCATCCGCCGTCTGGCGCGCAGGGGCGGCGTGAAGCGCATCTCGGGGCTCATCTACGAGGAGACCCGTGGCGTGCTCAAGATCTTCCTTGAGAACGTCATCCGCGACGCCGTCACCTACACGGAGCACGCCCGCCGCAAGACCGTCACCGCCATGGACGTCGTCTACGCGCTCAAGCGACAGGGCCGCACCCTCTACGGATTCGGCGGCTGACCTGCATCTTCAGAGTCGACTCTGCCAGCTGCTGCAGCTGTCCCGGTGCTATGGTTTCGTTTCCGAGTGCGTGTGTTGCTGTTCCATGGGTCTGTGTAGTTAGTGGAATTGCGATGGATCTGAATGTAATGGAGTTGCTGGTTCTTGCAAGAAACGAATCTGAATGAAATCGAAATTGTACCTCCTGGCTTGTTCCTGTACATTCTAAAATTTCTCAGCAAGAACGTCGCTGACGACTCTTTCAGTAATTTTCGTTACGATTTTTTGCTTTCCTGAATGGGCTCCAAAATTTCCCTGAACGCGGCGCTCGGAGGTCGAGACTCAAAAGGTGTCGGGGATTCCAGCCCGCCTTCGTACTAATTTTTTTTTTTGTTTATGCAGTGTAGCCTGACCAACTCCTCTTTTCGAGGGTGGTGGGGGCGGATTGTGCTCGTTTGAACATACGTACTGCTTGATGCGAAGATCGCTGCTGCTACCCAACTTGCTGCAGGCCAATCTGAACCCGCAAGCGCTTGTTCAAGTTCATGAGGAGATCTGTGCCACTGTCTCTATCTGAAGAGGAGTTGCAGCCTGTGTTTGTTTAGATCCTAGTAGATGTTATCTCTGATCTGATGCCTTGATGGATCATGATTCTGTTCTGAAATACTTTCAGACTTTCAGTACCACTCTTTGGCGTCGGAACGCTCTACTTAGTGTCTGATCGTGATCTTCACAATTAAAATGGAGCTGGGAGCGATCCTCCCGATAGCCACAACTTTCGGTTATGCAGAAACGTTCTCTGAATTTAAGTGTCTTTTTTCATCATTCATAGTAGTTCTAAGACTCTGCAGATGGCAGAATTTTAATTCAGTCAAATGGTTATAGAATTGCCCATTACTCAACACTAGTAATAATGTATGTGCAATGCACATTTATATTAGGTAGGATATTAGTTGCACGTTATATTAGGTAAGATATATCTGTTGCACGTTGATATTTGGTAAGATATCAATTAGTTTTTTCACGGGATTGGTAGGATATTAATTATATGGCAGATTTCATGGGATAGCGTTGAGTCAAAACGTGTTTATAACCAATGACACTGGTGGCTAATTAGAGCATTAAACGTATTTGATACTCAATATTGGAGCGATTTGAACCGCTAGATAACATGATTTGACGGTCGACATGATTTGAATCTTTTTATATTGATATAGATATAGATATAGATAAAAACTGGCTAACTTATACTGAAGGGAAAAAAATATCATACAATCATCTTGTGCTAGTACTTTGTCAACTGCTATTTTGCTACCGGGACATGTTTTTTTTCATGTTTTCTTCTCTTTCACGGTGAGTACCCAAGGTTTCATGAGTTGGCTAACATTTGAATTTCAATCCTTTTATGAGTTATCTTAACAGATGAACCTTTTCACTTCCTTGCAAAATAAAAAAATAAAAAAAAATCCGACATACATTTGATCTAGGCAAGGATAGGCTGAATTAAACTAACATTATTTTGGATATATCTCTACCTCTTAAGAAATAAAGTGTTTCAATTATTTCTAGGTAATAAAAAAAGAAAAATAAGGCAAACAAATTGATTATTATGCTCCGAACAGGAATGCATAAATCGCAGCCAAGAAAAAAAAATGGTGTTATGGGTTTTGCCTCTGTTGACACCAGATTTTGACATGGCAAAAAATATAACTAAAATGATATCAAACGAAAAACTTTATAACATGAAAGTTCTTCGTATCGTCGAAACAAACAACTTTGATTTTTAGGTCATATTCATTCATGGTCATATGCAACTTCAGAAGCCAAAAAATGGTAACCGACCAAAAGTTGCATGATTTATCAAAGGTTGCACGCGGTACGCACATAAAATTGATTTTATCTTTCAAATCCGCCATTTAGGATGCACATATGAAAGCGGGGGGTGTGCACCTCCTTGTAAAGCCTGAAACTGGAGGGGATCGCCGACGCCTTCCCTCTTCACCCACCTATCAAACTCCTGGTGGTTGTACATACTGAGCCTGCCATTTTCAAAATCAAACAAGAAACACGCATAGCAATCTCAGTTCACGAATTTCGTGACACCGTGAACCAA